TCTGGTAAATTCAGGAGACCATATATTCATTTATTGAGATGAGTAGCGTTCATTAACAAGATATAATGAAATTCATAAATGACCAGTTCATCCAAGTCAACAGAATCAAACTAGATGCGTACCACTTGTCATTTCCCATTTGAATTCCACTCGACGGTCTGTCTGCATGTGCTGTCACTCGAGGGTCTCTTGTGTGTGTGTGTGTGTGTATCCAATCGATTTCCTTTTCCTTCTGCATTTTTTCAGGGGAATAGGTTGTCAGTTGGTTCGTTCCCAGGATTCCTTGCTACTAATCCTTTATGGTCAGTCGTCTGATCCTTGATATGTAGCGAAGACAAAAATTTTCCTTCTTATTTTGTTCTGAATTGTTTGTAGCCGCATCGCAATAGACAATTGGAAAATTTCCTGCCTTTTTAGTTGAATTTTGCTGTTATTATTGTCATAGATGAGATTGGTTCCCACTACATGGAAAGCCGTCTTCACTGTTGTTGGTGTGACATTATGTGATAGCCACTCTCCTGTTAACTATTTGGATAGTCCATTCCATTTGCTTTCACAAATTCTTAATACTTCTGGGCCTTATCCTTTTCATTTGTTTTACAATCTGAGCGAGCAGTCTTGCCACCCAGCTTCGTGCACTGTGTGTGGCGCCATGCTTATTTCATTAGTGCTTGTAGGCCAAAAAAGAAGTGCCATCACAAGGAAAATCAATAAGTAGCAGTAGATATCAGTGGCTTATTCGATTCCTGTTGTCACCTAGACGGGGTTGTTGATTTTTTTTTATCTCACATTGAATAATTATGTATTACATAGGCGTCGGTGGCACAGCGGTAGAATGCTCGTCAACCATGCCTCATGTGGTCCGGCGTTCGATCCCCGGCCACAGACGCACTCCTTTACCTCGCCACTCCAGTAATAAAAATGCTGGTGAACAGGAAAGGTTGGGCATGAGGCTAACAACCCCATCCTGTAAAAATAACCACCACTACTACAAAAACTTCAAGCTTCTAGCTTGAAGTCCTATGTTCCACCGGGAATGTGAAGAAATGAAAATAAAAGTATTGCATAAAAAAAACGCACATTTTGAAACCTGCTGTTATATACCACCAACCAAACTGGCAGTTCGCAGTTTACCCACTTCAAGGAGGTAAAATTTCAAAACAGTTTCCCCGGGAAACCTGGATCAAATTATATGGTATGCCTAATATCATAAATAGGAATTAGGGAAACAAGCATAGCTGCATGACGCTACACAATATTGATTGATTGATTGATTGATTAACATGAGTATTTGAAGGCTGCTCACATCAGCTAACGAATCAAGTCAGTGGCTAGGCGGCCGTTTCTGCTATTTAGGACGGAGCAAACTGTGAATTTGATTGAGCGTATTACCAGTTCGCTCAAGCAGCTAGCCAAAATTTCTATGATTTGAACTGATTCGGTGTCCTGATCTGAGTCTGATAGGGTCCACCACAGATGAGCATGGCTTTAGATGACTGAAACGCCTGTTCAGTGTTTAGACTACTATGGTTGGCCTGCAAAATTTGGGCTACCGATATCCATGCTGAAAATTCCATACTTGTACCAAAAATACAGTGTGGAATCAAGCTGTAATCAAAAAAAAAAAGACTACTTCCATCTGTCTGAATGATATGCATTACAGGTTGATGTGAGTCACATCCAACTACTTTTCCCAGTTAATCAATAATATATATAACATCATGGAGATATGTGCCACAAAATAAATAAAATCATGTCGACTTTACAGAACTATAGAAGCACACATACTGGAATGCGTCGGTGGCATAGCGGTTAGGACGCTCGCCGACCATACACATGATCCGGGGTTCAATCCCCGGCCAAAGACGCACTCCTTTACCTCGCTAAACCAGAAATAATGCTGATAAAGAGAAAAGCTTGGGCATGAGGCTAGCACCCCCATCCTGTAAAATAAACACTTCTACAGAAACTTCAAGCTACTGGCTTGAGGCCCTACGTTCCATTGGAAAAGTGAAGGAAAAAACATACTGGAAGCTGATGTTCCTATAAAGAAAAAACGCATCAAGATATTCAGTAGACAAAAGTAGACAGAACCTTCAATTACTCGTGTTACTTTCAAGGTGAATACTTCTGCCTTAAATTCAAAGGTACGCTTTTCCGAAGAACTTAATCTTACTTGAAGACCAATCAATAAATTCCATGTATGTACATTTTTCTGTAATTTAAAATGGGATTGTTCAAGTGACCTTAAAAACAGAATTTAGGCTTGTAAATAAGGCATATAACGATAGTTCGAAATGTGCGCGAAAAATTCGAATGTACAAAGACAATACATTTCGAAGATTTGCAGCTGTTGACTTTTGTCAGGAATTTAACATCTAGGTTGATGCTCTGTAGCACTGAGCACGCATGATCTTATCAGAGGTTGGAGGTAAGATTTTCAGATAAAAGTGGAGCACATTCAGTATTTAACTAATGGGTCGAAATCAAATGGCTGGCGAAACATTACTGCTATCAGTCAACAGTATAACTCCACCGCCAATCTCGATAGCATCAGAAAGTATCTGTTCTCATACACAACTTGATGGTGGTGCTAACAATCGTGACTTCTCATAAAAACTCTAGGAGATTCACCTTACACTTCATCGGTAATGCATACTACACTAATAAGGGGGAAAATAAGTAAGAGTTATAACTAAAGTCTCAAAAAATGTGCTCACTCGTTCATTAGTAGTGGCCCTGTTTCGTAAATCAATAAAAGCTAAAATTCGTGAGCTGCTATATTCCAAGCCATTGACTGGGAGGTAACGTGTACGCCAAAAGAAATGTAAGTCACCGGTTTCATTTCCGATCGGATCATGGATGTGTGCTGATGAAGTAGCACTAAGCGGTACAAAACAGTAACTCAGCCTTCCTTAGTTTTCAGGCTCACAAGATATACGTTACTATTTAGCCATCTATTCAAAATACAATTAATTAACATTTTAAATTGTATATCGTTCTGCATTGTAAACGCTTGAGTCTTGTATGTTTGAGTTAGAGGATAAGACTTTTAATGCAATCAGATAAGAGGTATTATATTTTAATTCAATTTGCATTTGCTAGATGGTCGCAGGCAATCAGCAAGAAGTCCTAGATATCGGTTGCAAGTTCTTAAGGATTCACCAGTCAACAAGGCATATCTGCAGTCTTTAAGAAACTCGTATCCCTTGTGAGGTTTGAACTCGGGTCATCCACTGCTGTTGATCGGCCATTGAAGAGTGATTAGTGTCATACTGTAACGACAGAAGACAAGGGCCAGCCAACAGATCGTTTATTTACGAAGTCAACACATATTTATAGATTTCCATGCACATATTATAAGATTATTGTTAGCAGAAAAACACAGTCTCCTGATTGGTTGTTTCTCACTGAAAGTTAACTTTGCATCTCTTTGTGGCTGTTTCTTGAATGTCGAATCATCTATGTGTTAACTGTATCCGTCTACGCAAAGCCTTTGTTCTCATTTTTCTCACAACCAATATTGGGGACGTAAACATTGATGTAAATTACTGTCCACCGATTTTGGCTAACAGCCAGCTCTCACCACAACACATCTAGTCCTTCGTTTCGATACAGACGGAATTCTGTCAGCCAGTTTCGCAACCTGTCCACCATGCTAAGCGGCTCACCATCACGGTGCACTAAACGACTGGAGTGTTCATTCTCCGTTGACATGTCACCTCTTAATATAGACATTTCAATAATGTTATTCTTGTTGATAGTGACTTGCAGTGGAATCAAGGATGTATGTTTCCGCCTATTTAAAACTCATCAACAGGATGTCCCTGCGTCGTCAGTGAAAGATGGTGTTCCAAATGAGACTCGAACCTTGCACCAGTCGTTTCTAATTCCAAAGAGTTATTGTTGTGACCGAAGAGGTTTAGTGGATAACACCTTGGTACGCCTTGAAACGATGTATAAAGAGTTTGAGTCACAGTGGAAATACCACCACTCATCGACTTTCCAAGTACATTCATATCTGCTAGTCATTATCAACCAAAAAAATAAGTAGTATCACCAACCACTGATTGCGTCAACAGAGTCTGAATTCTAAAATTATTCCACAACAACGACAACAAAAATTTATCTGAAAGACAAAAAATAACAATAATAACGATGAAAGGAAAAATGATCTCAGTAAAAAAAAACGCTCATAAGAAACACAACAAACAAAACGAAGTGAATAAAAATCGATTACAAACTGCCTCGACTATTCAAACTCTCAAAAACTTTTCAAATTTTCAATGGGTTCGGTAGTAGTAAAATAACCGAAATAATAAATTAGGGTGAAGAAAACAAATGCTGTTTTTCGTGTGTGTGTGTGCACGCGCGCTCATGTGTTATTGGATTCACACACCAGAATCTGTGTTGTCTTATCTCCTTTATTTCTAAGATCGCTACAAATTTATAGACATGTTTATTTCCTGTGTATGATTAATGCCTGCCTAGTACCCTATGCATTGTCTATATGTGTACGTGTGTGTGTGTGTCTATCTATGTATAGAGAGAATCAACATTTTTGGACAGATAAATAGATAGATAGTTAGATAGGTTTCATCCAGTTCAAAATTCGTTTTTAAAAGTGTTTAGAAGAGCGAACCAATGAGAATGTCTCTTTCCTTCATGGTATATTAAACGAAATAGACATTTTCTATTGGCTATAGGATCCACTAGAAACACCATCATCTAACGATGGATATACACGGCATATATAGGCAGACAGTAGTCATTTCTTTATCTACTGACATACCCTATCATCTATCTACCATCACCACCTATGTGATTTGACGGATCGAATCAAATTAATTCTAAAATAACGGAGAAATGTTTGCGATGCGAGTTTATCCTTATGCTTATGCTTATATGTGTACAACCAAGAGACATATAAACACGAATATGAGGGTATATATAGTAAAACGTCTCCCCCCTTTCAGTGACTTAAGTGTGTATACTCGTGTGTGTGTGCGCGTGTGTGTGTGTATAGATACATATAAAAATGACTACTGTCCATTATACCTACTTTTCCTTCTGTTTTATCAGTTCGAATAAGAATTTCTAGTTAGTTAGCTGTTAGTTAGTTTTTCAAAGGAGAAAGGAAGCAATTAAATATAAAAAAAATTACATTGTATAAAGATTAGAAGGACTCAAAATCATTATGGTATTGTGTGATTAAATCGTTTATAAACATTTCACTGGTGGTAATCAACTATCACAAAATTATCAAACGTTGAAAAAAAAACAATTTCAATTAGTTCACATTTGTAAATTATTTATTCATTCCATTCCACGTGTATATATATATATATATTAAAAAAAAATTTGTTTTACTTATTAACAAATATACATGCATATATAACATTATTGTATAGTTTAAAACAAACAATCGTTAAATTGGACATTGTACTTTACATCGAAGTTATTCTAAAGGAATTATTACCTGATCAAGTAGATTTAAAAAATACGTTTAAAAATGAATATTACAGATATGCAATCGTCGAAATCAGAATGGAATAATGACTGTACAGTAAGTGATTATTACTATTACTTTTATTATTGCTGTTGCGTAATGTTGGTATTTGTTCCTTTGATTTATTTCACTGGGGAATGTTTTATTGTTAAACTTAAATATCTTGAAGCCTAACGACTAGGCATTCGATCATTAGATGTGATCAGTGAAGAAATGGTCAAAGGCTATTTCAGTAGGGCTTCAACATTGAGCTCTAAAGTTTCCGTAGCAGGGATTTTTTATTTTTATTGGATGACAGATAGCCTGAGGCCCAATCTACCCCAACCTCCGTTATCGGCTTTGTCATCGGGTTAGTGAGGTTGCAGGAGTGCATCCGCTGGGAGATCGAACCCCGGATCACGTCCGTGTTTGCAGAACATTCTAACGCTGAACCACAGATAGACTGTACCAACTTAGTAACTCGAATCACTACATAGCAATTCAGTTGATGTAGGTACAAGTAATCATAAGTGGAAGAATGAAATATGCGTAGTTGAGTTATCACCTCAATACCAAGATAATAGTTATGAGTGTACACCAAAGAAGATTCTTAGATTAAACTGAAATACTTGTCAGTTCCCCATTAGTTCTCCCTGGTATTCTACTTGATTTCAAGCTATGAGTGAAACAAACCATCAGATTAATTCACTACATTATAGCCAGTTAAAATGTTCGGTCAGTGGTTAACTGTCAAGCTCATTGAGTCATTTGTGTTCCACTGTTTGATTGATACATCTTTCTCTGGGTGGTGGTGGTGGTCACCAGATCTTCATTCTCTGACCACTTGATATTAAATTATGAATTTTCTGGTTTATTAATTTCACTTATTGTCTATATTAGTTTTGGATTTTAATGGAGTGTCTAAAGAAGAATCCCTATTCTCTATATAGTCTAATATTTCTGGGTTCAGTTCAGACATCAAAGGAGGCATACTGCTAGTCACTTCTAATGTTAGATGAAATATCTATCCAATACTTAACTTTTTGTCAGTTTCTAGTGAAACCTGAACTCAGGAGTACCTGAATAAAAATTACGTAATTCTAGTTGTTTAAATGTTATTAAGGAATCATTTATATTTTGTATAGATGATAGTGAATAGATTCCTTTATGAATTACCAGATATGGACTGGTAGTTTGACTTCCAGTCAGTCATTATTCACCACATCAATATCAATCTGTTAATCCATGACTACCTGAGATAATCTTACCAACTTAGATTTAAATGTTTATTATAATGACATTCCAACTAGAAGTGAACTTCCGTATGAACTGAGGTGTTCGTTCCGGATTCCTTAAAGTTCCAGAATGGAACATACAGCTTCAGGCTTGACCTCTGAAGTCTCAGTAAAGGTGGTTTGTTTTTGCAGGCTGAGGTGACTAGCCTCAAGCTTAAACTTTTAACTTTTACCAAGCTTACTACTGGCTAGGCAAGATTTACGAGTTCATCGACCGGGAATCGAAACCAGCGTTACTTATAGAATAAACTTAAAAAAGTAATGGGTACTGTTATGAAAATATTCTTTATCTCACATAATGTACAATAGATGGTACAGTATTATTATTCTTATTGTTGATTAATAACATTTCCAGTAAACAATTTGCTACTTATATCCATAGGAAGGTAATTTCTAGTTAATTTAACCCGCTGAAATTTCAGTTAAGGAAAGGAGCTCTTTGGATTTTCTCTAGTGTCGTAAACAGACAGACAGACAGTGAATTTTACTTTAGTGTGTTTTATCTTAGTAATTCAACCAACTAGTAACAGTAGTGTACATTTCCGCGGACTAAGTAACCACCTGATTGTAGATTTTGTCAAGAACTAATATCAGTTTGAAGATCATTGAAAACCAATAAGCACTGGATGGTTGTTTCGTTCTGGTTAGGGACTCACCAACAGTGTTCACCTAAGACGCCACCAGAGATTAACCCAAAACCATCAGATTAAACCTCTCTAGCTGGAATTTAATGATCGTTGAATTCTAATTTTCAATCAGTTTGCAATATAACTTTAGCGTCATCCAACACCGCCTATGAGCACATACACTTTATTTGATATGTTGGCAGTAGCGCTGTATTGCGAAAAGAAAAAAAATTAAATTCTAAGGGGTCATTGGATTCCGTCTCAACTGACTGAGCAGTTAACGAGCTTGACCAGATTTTATCCTTTTTAGGGTCATAGACATGTGCTACAGAAGAACCCCAAACTAGAACAAAACAACTACTCGGTACCCCCGATTCTGGATGACTGTCTAGTTAAGTTTGGTTCGTGAAGAAATCTACAGTGAAATTAATTCAAATCCCTACAAAACTCATAATCTAAGGATATAATTTTTACTTATATTTAAGAAAATAAAGGTCTGTCTGTCTGGTTTCGATACAGAGCTTTGGACATATGTGCGGCAGTTCAAGTCGCCACACACCCTCCATGTAGCACACAAAGCAAGAGAAGAAAGTAGAAGAAATGCATAATAGGGACAGTAAACAGAGGTGTGAGACAAAGGAATAGTAATAATGAAGTTTCATTGGAAATTATAAGTCACAAGGAGTGGATGCATCTGCACCAGCCATTGAGAACAATTTTGAGCCGGCCATATCACCGATTTTCTCCAGCCATTGGTTTTTACCGTCCCGAGAACCCATCCAGGAAGTCTACACCTTCCTACGTGAACGGCGTAAACTAACTGTTGTGGATTTCATTGATTAGTGAGTGCCATGTTAGATGGTTAGAGGTAATCGGTAGAAAGCCACCACGGTAGATTTCGTGATTATCAGCACTAGTCAGAAAGGCGTACAAGTAATCTTGGAGGAAGTCATGTTCCCACGTTGACTTAACCTTCAGTCACAAGGGTTGTGGTAGAACAAGTAGTGCTCATATCCTATAGGAAACTGATAATAATATTGATTGATCACTAGACAGTATACCACTGTCAAAATGTCTAATCCTTTGTGTTCGTACTAATCGAATACTATCATTTGATTTACACTGGGGTTATCACAGTATAGGAGACTTGCCATCACGATGATTACGATGATAATTTAATTACTTTTAGATGGTTAGAAGTTTTTTTACAAATTCTTGTGGACATTTACATCAACTCAGTTCCTTTTCCCACTTCTGTAATTCGTAATATCTATGGTGAAGACTAACGTTTTAGCTGTCTGTTCACATTTCAGTGTAGATGTTGTCACGAAGCGACATCAATTAGAGAATCATTGAAAACTATGATTTTGTTTGGTTCTAGTATGAGATTCTTCAGTGATTCTCACGGCTGAAGTAGGCGCTTCAAAAAACCTACACTGAAACTAATCGAAATCCCCTTAAATCTGAATATTCTGAATACTTATTGATGATTATAATGGTTATTAGTACAAGACAGAATTTTGTTAAAAATGTACAAATAATAACTGATTTAATGGCTAATGTACTTTATTGTCGTCATTTTATGGAATTATTATTACACAATTATTTAGGATACGAAATTAGCCTAATATTAGCACGAAGAGATATCATCCAAAATATTTTTTAGGAGGAAATAACATATTTAGGTGTTGGACTGTGGGGGAGGTGTGTCGGTGGCACAGCGGTTAGGATGCTCACCGACCATGCACATAATCCGGGGTTCGATCCCCGGCTACAGACGCACTCCTTTACCTCGCTAAGCCAGCAATAAAGCTGGTAAAGGGGAAAGGTTGAGCATGAGGATAGCAACCCCATCCTGTAAAAATAAACACTGCTACAGAAACTTCAAGCCTCTAGCTTGAAGCCCTATGTTCCACTGAGGAACGTGAAGGGAGAAAAAAGAAAAATTGTGGAGGAGGCGGTGGAGTTAATTAGTTCTAAGTTGGATCTCATCTTCTGCGTCAGTAGTTCAGTGGTAGGATGCTCGCCAACCACGTAGGTGGTCCAGGATTTGACTTTGCGCCGATTCACCCACCTATGGTAAGTCTGGGAAAGAGGAAGGGTTAGGCGTGTGGTTAGCAGGCCCTTCTTGCATAAAAAGAACACTACCTCTACTGAAACTTCAAAGATGAAGTTTAAAGCCGTATGCTCCATTCAGAAAGCAATGAAATAAAGGAAGAAGAACCAACGTTAGTTAGTTAGAGAACAGTTGAAAATCAGACAGTACTAGACAACTGTTTCTTCCTATTTGTAAATAGTTGAAAAAGATGCAATCAGTGTTGTGTCACTTTTCTGTCTCAGAGTTGTCATGCAGCGTCGACTCAAGAACATATCCTTCCCTAAGTACTGCAGTAATTATGAAAAAGATGTTCATCCAATAATTGATGTGATTATTGAACATGTGGCCTAATTCATCACTTTAAGTAAAGTGATACAATGTAATCTACTAAAAATCGGTCCAAACGAATTAATTTGTATTGTTTTAAAGAAATATGAAGCGGACCGATTCAAAAACTACTAAATAAATAGGGAATTTTATGAAAATAGGAATTGAGAAGCTCTTCAAAATATCTGGATATAAATTATTTTTATGCAGTTCGAACCCTATTCAGATGTGATATGTTTTAAAGAAATTATCTGTAATCTATAAACCTGAGTATTATATGTTATCAGCGCTCATCAGTAAAGAAACTTAGGTTCCCTTAGAGATTTAAACCCATATTACCTAATGTGACGGTCAAACACGTCACTATTGGCTTATTCGGGCTGCAATCGACCTTCTGAAGGACTCTAGTGTAACTTCACTGGTTTGAAATACTAGATATTCATGAACAAACCTAATCTAAGCCTATTGATTTACCGAGTCATCAGATAATACGATAAACTTTTATTCATCACATGTAGCTCATTGTCTAATCCACACACACACACACACACACGCATACATGAGTAGATTAATCAAAATGTGAACTTTTTTTATAAAGTGACATCAATTAGAAAAGCCATTCACCCTTAACCTCCCTCCCTTCTTAATGCTCTATTTTAAGATTTTCAAATAACCCATACTCAGAGTTTCCTGATGGATATGGTTTAAGATTGCCATATTTTGACAGTAATA